GTCGAGGGGTCTGAGAGTGCTCACTCAGGTCTCTCTTCCTCTTATAAAACCATCAGTCCAACTCCCATTTTAATTTATTAATCTGTGAATGGAGTATCCATTTTTGAGGGCAGAGCCCTCATGATTTAATCATCTCTTAAAGGCCCTACCTCTCAATACTGCCACATTGGGGATTAACTTTCAACGTGAGTTTTGGAGGGGACATTCCAACCATAGCATTCCGCCTCTGGCGCCCCTCCCCCCAAACTCATGTCCTTCTCACAAACAAATTCATTCTATTCTCACAGCCCTAAAGTCTTACCTGTGAGTTTGTAAAAATCAAAACAAGTTATCTACTTCAAGATACAATGGTGGGACAAGCATAGGGTACGAATTCCCATTCCAGAAGGGTGAAATAGGCAAGAAGAAAGGGGTAACAGGCTCCAAGCAAGTCCGAAACCCAAGAGAGCAGACACTGGGTCTTCAGACTCCAGGATACTCTCCCTTGACTCCATTGTCCGGCGTCCGCTGCACACCCGTGTGGGGATTGGGCCCCAAGGCCTTGTGCAGACCTGTCCCGATGGCTTCCCTGGGCTCAGTCTACCCAGCTCTCCCTGGCTCGTGTTGCATGTTAGTAGCTCTACAGTTCTGGGGGCTTTGTGGTGGTCTGGCTCCCATGGCACCATTAGGTATTGCTCTAGGTGGGGGTCTCCACTGTGGCTCCGCCCCTGAAACAAGTCTCTGCCTGGACTCCCAGGCTTTAGATGACATCCTTTAAAATCTGGGTGGAGGCTGCCATGCTGCCACAGCATTTACTTTCTGCAAGCCTGCAGAATCAGCACCCTGGGGAGGCCAATAAGGTTTACAGTTTGTACCTTCTGGAGCTGCCTCTTGAGGTGCAGCTGGAGCTAGGCAGCAGTGCTGCTGGCCTGTCCTCAGAAACCGTTCTGCCCCCCAGGCCTCTGGGACTGTGAATGGAGAGGCAGCCTCAAAGATCTGTGAAATGCCTTTGGGGCCTTACTCCCATTGTCTTGACTATCAGCACCTGGCTCCCTTTTAGTCATGCTAATCTCTTTAGGAAGCCCCACACCCTTCTATTCTCTTTCTCTACCACTTGGCCAGGCTGCCAGTTTTCCATATTTCCCTTTTCTCTAGCAGTTCAGTTAGAAGTAGCCAAGCAGCAGCCTGGGCACTTTGCTTTTAGAAATTTTTTCTGCCAGGTACCCTAGTTCATTACTCTCAAGTTCAGACTTCTACAAAGCCCTTGGGCATGGACACAGTTCAGTCAAGTTCTTTGCCAATTTATAATAATGATGGCCTTTAATCCAGTTCCCAATACCTTGTTCCTCAGTTCCATCTGAAACCTTGTCAGAATGGCCTTTACTGTCCATACTTCTACAGCACTCTGGCCTCAATCACTTACCAATCTCTAAGGAGTTTGAGATTGAGATCTCCAAACTTACCCTAGTCTTCTTGTTTTCTAAACCCTCATGAGAATCTGGGCTTTTTCTAGCCTGCTGCTCCACATTCTTCCAGCTTCTGTCCATTACCCAATTCCAAAGCCACTTCCATATTTTCAACTATTTGTTATCAGCAACACCCCACTTCTCAATACCAGTTTTCTTTTTTTTCTCACAGATCTCACCAAGTCAGACTCAGTACCAATTTTCTTAGTCCATTTTCTGTTGCTTGTAACAGAATACCTGAAACTGCATAATATATTAAGAAAAGAAGTCTATTTCTTTTTTTTTTTTTTTTTGAGACAGAGTCTCACTATGTTGCCCGGGCTAGAG